CTGGAAGAGCAGTCAGTGCTCTTAACCTCTGAGCCATCTCTCCAGCGCCGACAATAGATTTTTAAAATTTATTTAACTTTATTTTAAATGCATTGGTGTGAAGGTATCAGATCCCCTGGAACTGGAGTTAAGACAGTTGTGAGCTACCATGTGGGTGCTGGGAGTTGAACTCAAGTCTTCTAGAAAAACAGTCAGTCCTCTTAACTGCTGAGCCATCTCTCCAGCCCAGACAATAGATTTTTTTCACGCAATATATTCTGATTAGGGTTTCCCTTCCCCCTATTCTTCCCTATCTTCCCTCCCACCTGGCTCCACATCCTATCTGTCTCTCATTAGAAAACAAACAGGAATATAAACATACAATAAAAAATAAAGTAAAATAAGATAAAACATAATCAAATAGGAACAGGGAAAACAACCAAATAATAAGAATCAAAGAAATAGTACCAAAAAAAAAAATTCTCACATACAGATGCAGAGACTTACCAGTGCAAGCTTCAAGTACGCGCGCGCGCGTAAACACACACACACACACACACACACACACACACACACACACACACACTCACACAGAGGAATCCCATAAAAACATAAACCTGGGAGTCATAATGTATATGCAAAGGACCTGTAAGGGGAAAAATGCCCTGGCTTAATATTATAAACAAAGAACCTCCAAAGATCCTCTTGAGTTCCTTTTGTGGTGGCCTTTTCTCTGAGGAGCCTGGAGCCTGCCTTTAACAGGGGTAAATTTCCTCAGTGAATCTAAACTGCTAGTCTTCAAGGGGCCTCTGTCTCAGCCTTCCAAACAGCTGGGACTATAACCTACAGGACACTATATTTTCTAGCCCTAACTGCTACACAAAATTGAGGACAAAGGGCTTGGGGGAATGGATGGTTGTTTTGAGACTTTTCTGGAGAGATTCACCCCAAGTAGTGTACCAAAGACAGACCAAAGAATCTGCACAAGCCTAGCATAGTGAACTAATGAGTCTGTTGACACCACTTACAAGGTGTAGACAAAGGGTTATCCAGAAGCATAGATGACTCAAAGGCAGCTACATCACAGAAAAACCCTCCCAGCTTCTGAGTACTCATGAAAGCCACATCCTTGGTCTCAAGTCTCTCCTTTCCTCCTTTCCTCCCTCTCCTGCACTCCTCACTACTTCCATAACCTTTGAATCTTGTAAATTTCAGGGATTTCCTGAGATTTGTAAGGTGTTACTTTCTGAACCTTGTAAGTTTTGTTTGTCTTAACCTTTTTTCTAGATTTTAATGCTTTGGTTTGAATGAAATTGCTATACAATAGTAGTATATGCCACGGGAAACATTTGTCAGTGCTATGGTTATACCTGGACTGCCCTCTCTGTGGCTATAGGATTCTCAAAGCCCTCCAGGACACAGAGTTCAAGTCTTCCAGGTGTTTACACAGTGGTCGATATTATTGTCAGCTATAATAAGGAAGACAGTTGAGTGGGTAAGCATGCTGATGGATCCTGCAAGTGTCCTGGCAGGGAAGTGAACCCCTGAAGAGATGAGAATAAAAAGTCAGATTGACTTTGTCAGCCTGGACCAGGCTTGAGGAGTTTGATGCCAGTCTGTTCCTTGTTACCATATTTAAAACACAGTACAATTTGGGGAAAGTTTCCAGGCAACCATCATTCCCATTCCAGGTTTCCAAGCAACAATTCCAGGTACACAATAAAAGTTAAGGTGTGACTACATAGAAACTCCTTTACAAAGTACATATGACCATGAGGGTGGATTCTATAGCTAAAGGCCTAGATTTAGTGTAGTCTCTGACAGATAGTATAGAGATCAGCAAGTTATAAAACAGAAGAGACATCTCCCCTGTGGATGGGTTTAACTGGGAACTAAAGAGAATGGTCCAGGGAGAGAGAGAGTCTGGGATAAACAGTCTGGGGAATATGGATGAAGTCTGCCTCTATAGAAAAAGTCCCCAGGTCATTAACAAAATTCACTCCCAGCCTACTGTGTGGTAAAATGGGTATTTTATACCCTCCATTAAGGAGAGGCCCTGTATGCTTAACGTTCCTGGTTCCCTAGTGGCCTGTGGGCACAAGGATCTTTGTGCTTCCAACAAATTGCTACCACAGAACACCCAGGTTTAGCTTACAACACTCACCTGGCAGCACACAACTCTCTAAAATTCTAGCTCCAAGGGCTCTGACCTTCTTCTGGACTCTGAAGGCACTACATGCAAGTGATAGACATACATACCTCAACTCAGTGTAGACACCAATCAGGATTTCATGTGTGTCAGTAGAACCCAAGTGTGTACTAGGCATTGACTAAGTCATGCATCTGTAATAGTATTCCTCATTTCCATACACCCCCACATGTCTAAGAACCACTCCATGCTCTTGTCCCTCCACTGAATCAGGTGGGCAATTGCTATTTTCTTCACTTTACTGATTAGGGTCTCAGTGTCTCAGGTGCTTGTGAGTTCACTGACCACATAGACCTTAACAATGGTTCTTGTGGATGTCACCCATGAGCTTTCAACCGGTGTACTCGGCTCTTCCAGTGGACAATGCCCCTTACCCTTGACATTCAGTTGTCCTAGTTTCCCTAAGGGTTACTTCACACCTTACTTCACAGTCCTATCTAGGACCCCTTACATTTCCTAACAGAATCTATCATCTCCCCATCCCATGAAATTTTAGACTCTTTATGATGGCACCATCCAGATGGTACTCACTTTGGGTACCACTCATACCACATCCTTACCTCCTACATCCTAAGTCTTTCTTGCTTCTTCATCTCATCTGCTGCCAGATAATTCAGCTATGGGGTAAGTTTCTTCCCTCACAGGCTTCTCCTTAGCTGTTGCTATGCTGTCTTGTTAATCCCAATGATTCAAGGAGAAAGACCATTGACCCAAATCATCATGACCAAATTGATTAAAGCACACATTTAATTAAAACACGCTTGTTTATTTATATACATGAGCTGTCTTGAGCGGGGCTCAAGAGGTCATCACTGGACATGGGCAAGATAATGTTTTATGGCTCAGGGATATGGGATTTCCAAATGGGGGATTTAGCAGGCAAATAGACAAGATTATAATAGCATTAGAAATTAGTAATATTGACCTTCTGAAACAGAGAAATGATTTTAAGATAGTCATAACATAGTCATAACAACAGGTGGGCATAATAACCTTTTGAGACAAAGACATAGTTGCTATTTCCTTCAACAGGCAGTACTGGGCCATCTGTAGTTAAGGTTACAGAGGGAGCATATACCAGTCTTTGAGAAACAGAGATTTAATCATAAGCAGGAATTAATCTACTTTGTCTTTACTATGAGATGGCTTTCAGCCAAAGATGGAGGCAGGATGGTTCATTGGTTTACCTGATACACACATCCTTAATTGAAGGATTGTAGCGAATGTGTTGCCTTTCGGGGAGGTCTTATCACAGATTAATAACCTCACTTCAGTATTGTAGCTCTCCTGAGGTACTTGTGTGATACTTTGTTTGTGTTCTGACAAAGTTTGGCTAGAGACCAGAGGGTGGAGCTAGCCACTAGTTAACCAAAGGCGGTGGTGGCACCCATCTTTAATCCCAGCACTGGGGAGGTGGAGACAGAAGAGATACAGTGGGGTGGAGACAAGAAGGAGACAGGTAGGAAGCAACTGGTGGCTGCTCTGCTGCTTCTCTGATCCTTCAGGTTTTATCCTGATATCTCACTCCTGTTTTTTATTGATTAAGACTAATTAGATTCTCACTTCATATTTGTGATTGCCTTTCTTTTGATCTTCTTTGCTTCAGCAGAGTATATGACATATTTTCTTTCTCTCTTTCTTTCTTTCTTTCTTTCTTTCTTTCTTTCTTTCTTTCTTTCTTTTTTTTTTAGAACAACACCAATACCTCAAAAGATCCCCACTTGGCACCCTCACAGTGCTATTGCTATGTCTGGTTTAGAATGTTTTTGTGAGCATGTGCATGGTGTCATTTGTTTATTAGAGCATGTGTAAGTAATCATTGACTGCACCACTGGAAAAAATGACCCCATCCCACCCCTTCCTCTGTGTTCTTGCGTGCTGTGTATTGCAGCCTTTGGTATAGGAAATCATAATGTTCTACATCCCTAATCTGATTATGGTAGAAATACCTGGCTATTGATCTGTGTTTAAGAACATGAAGATAACTTGGGGTGTGGCTCAGTAGTAAAGTGTTTGCCAAAATTCTGTGTCCTGAGTTCCATCCCTAACATCATAAAATAAAAGAAAAACATAAAGAGAAACACTTCTCAACCAGGTCTCTGGTTAAACACAAAAGCCCCAAGAGAATCTAGATGAAGCAATGCCATGGCACTCATGTGCCAGGCAGTTACAAAGTTTTGTAAGAACCTGCCATCTCTAGCCCTGCTTAGAAACTTTCCATACCCACCAGTCAAAGCCCCTGGAGGGCACAGCAGAGATGAACAAAGTTCAATTGTTTTCACTGCCTTTAAACAGCCAAATGGGACATCTTTTTGCAAACTGCCAAACTTCCCTGCCAAAATAGTCCCCAGGAAACCAATTCCAAGTTTTGCCAGGGCTCACAGCAGGGGCATTTTCAGTGATACCTGGGGACTCATTAAAAGTTGACAGGCAATTCCACTTCATTTGTACAAATTACAGAGCCTCTGAGGACCAGCCACAGAGATGCAGGCATCTGCGGCTGATGCTTACACAGCCCTTGGCTGAGATGGAGAAACCATGCTACCCACTCTGGAGCAATGATGCTCCCCAGGTGGTTTTCTGCTTACTTTCAAGCCTAGACCTGAGTGTCTGCCTAGTAAGCAAGACCTACACTTAAGTACTGGAGGTGGCCCTCTGAATCCCCTGGATGCAAAAGTCCCAGTGACCCAAGCAGCTACAACTGCTACAGAGAAAGCACCGTGACACTCTACCATGCAGAAGATGGCCTCCATTAGCAACCCAGGCTCCTGGTACACAGGATGTCCTGTCCTCTGACACCTCCTCCTCCACTGCAGTGGTCAACACCTTGTCATGCAAATAACTCATTCAGCAATGTCTTTCTTAACACAATAAGCCCACAGCCCTAAGAGGACAGGAACACATTGGGCATCTTCCTAGATGTGCTCTCCCTGCCTCAGTAGATACTGTGCATAATAAGTATTTTGGGGAAAACAAGCAAAAGGCTGGAGACTTAGCCCACTAGGAGAGTGCTTCTCTAGCAGGTACAAGGCTCTGGGTTTATTCTCCAGAAAAACATCACTTAGCAAAGCAAAGCCAAATGAAAACCCCACAAAGTGTATTGACCAGGAAGCTCAGGACGAAAGGCATTTGCTGCCTAATGACATTTGTTCTGTGACATGAGTTCAATCCCAGGTAGCCACATGGTGCAAAGAGAGACCCAAATCCCAAAAGTTGCCCTCTTATATTCTCACACATGTGGAGGCATGGGCACCCCTACATACTTGCACACACTCACACGTAAAATAAATGAATGAATAAATAAGCAAATAAATGCAATGCAATTCAAAAGAAAGGCAAAATAGCAAACAGGGCCTTGACTGATACCTAGTTGTTTTGGAGCACATACTGGTCTCATAGAGAACCCAAGTTTGGTTCACAGAACCCATATAGAGCAGCTCACAACTACAGCTCCAGTTGGACCTCAAGCCACACACTTCCACCAGTGCTGGCACATGCATGAACATACATGCCTCCAGGCATAAGCATATACAAACATATACCTAAAATTAAAAGTAAATCCTTGTTTAAAAAACAGCAAGCAAATTACTCTTTCACTCAACATGGGGGGCTGGACACAAAGAATTATAAAATCCATAGAAAATGAAGATCACTATTCTTTGATTTTTCTGAGATGCATTTTTCAGGCATGGGTGGCATCATATGAGCTTTCCTGGTCTATGCATCACCATCATCATCCTCAGTATCCCAAAGATAAATGATTATGGTCTAGGGCTGCTGGGATGATGGGCGAACGTCCTTCCTATGTGGAGCCTTGGCTGTCTTCTTAAGCCACTCTGACCTCAGCTTCCTGTCCTTTTGATTTTCCTTGGATGAGAAATTACTTTCTGACCTCAGGTCTTTGTATTTGTGGGTCCCTCTGGTTGGTGAACCCTTTGCTCTCTCCCTACCTGTATTAATTTTTTTCTTCGTTACTGGGACAGACTACCCAAACAATGCAATTTAAGGAATATTTTTGTTGTAGAATAATCCTCTTGTACCCTGTAAAGATTTTTTCACTCGAATTGGTATAATAAAACACTGATTGTCCAGTAGCCAGTCAGGAAGTATAGGTTAGGCAACCAAACTAAGGATGATAGGAAGGAGAAAGGCAGAGTCAGGAGATGACAGCCAGACTCAGAGAGAGCAAAATGGGCACTCCATACTGAGAAAAGATACTGCCACATGGCAGAGTATAAATAAGAAATATGGGTTAATTTAAAATGTAAGAGCCAGTTAATAATAAGCCTGAGCTATTGATCAAGCATTTATAAGTAATATTAAGCCTCTGTGTGGTAATTTGGGAAGCAGCTGTTGAGTATTTGGAATGTGGCTCCAAGACAGGAAACTGCATATGGGGTGCCAGATGATGAATGACCCTGATCGGTCTTAACAATAAAAGCCTGGAGTCAGATATTAGAGTGAAAGCTGAAAGATCAGAGAAGCAGAGCAGCCAGCCATTAGAGTTCTTACCTCTCCGACTGTAAAAGGGGCAAGATGCTGTCTACACCTGGCCTTGTCACTTCCTCTCCACACAGCCTTATCACTTTCCTGTCTCCTCTTTGTATAGATCTCCAGACTCCTATGGTTAACTAGTGGCTATCTCTACCCTCTGTTCTCCAGGCAAACTTTTTGTCAGAACACAAACAAAAATCACACAACACCAGAACTTTGGAGGCTAAAATGGGAGGGCAATGGAAGTTTGAGAACTGTCTCAAATAATGAGGCCCAATATCAGAAGAAGAAAAATCAGGAGATGGGAGAGGAGAAAAGAATAAAGGATAAGTAAAAAACAAACGGGGAAGGAAGAGAAGAAGAGAGGTGCAATGAAGAGAGAACAGGAGAGAAGGCTGTGTTACATGCCCTTGCCCTGTTGTAACAATCACAGAGTAAGGGAGGAACAGCAGACCAGCTTAGTTCTTGATGGAAAGCGTGTGTGGCCGAGGCTAGTCAGGTCATGCATGCACTGGGAAGTAGAAAAGAACATAGGGAGTAGATAGAGATAATATACTCTCAACGACCTACTTCTTCCAGCGAGGTCCCGCCTTTCAAAGTTTCTGGAACTTTCCAAAATAAAGCCACCAGCTGGGGACCAAGCATGAAAGAGCCTGTAGGAGACATTTCAGGTTCGAACTGTAGCAGAGGGAAAACAAAGGGTCATATTAGGCAAGACCCTGGAAGCCTCATGTGGACTGAGAAATGCAGGGAAGAAAAGTTGGCTTCACTGAGACCACCTGTGGAAGCTTCCAGTAAGGTGATCATCACATTCTACACACACACACACACACACACACACACACACTGTATCCACCACTTTGAGATGGCAGGAAGATGACCTCAGATGGAATCTTCCATCCCAACAGCTCTCCTTTCCACCCTATGAAAATGCAAGGCCCCTGCATCTCTTGGGCAGAGCCCCTAATCTGGCAGAAATGTTGGTGGCCTTCAGTTGTTCTTGTTAAAGAACTGTTGTGCTTCTGCCTTTAGGTTTCATGTCACCTCCATCAGTCTCCATCTAACAGTACTTAGAGAAAGACTTTGGCCTGAGCCCTCCAGGACTCCTAAAAATACTGAAGGTCACCCCTCACAGTTGTTTCAACGAGAGACAAGAAAGATGGGGTACATGCTCTCCCTAGCTTGTCAGTCAATTGTTAATGACTATTTCCAAGGGGAATGTGAGCTTCCAGGCACTCCTGACCTTCAGAAGCCAAGCCATGTGGACTCCAGGAGGTGTTAATGGCTGCAGCCACTTTTCAGTGTCTTAGACACATTGAGAAGTCACCACCGGGCGTTGGTCGCGCACGCCTTTAATCCCAGCACTCGGGAGGCAGAGGCAGGCGCATCTCTGTGAGTTCGAGGCCAGCCTGGTCTCCAGAGCGAGTGCCAGGATAGGCTCCAAAGCTACACAGAGAAACCCTGTCTCGAAAAACCAAAAAAAGAAGAAGAAAGGAAAGAGAAGTCACCAAAAAATTCTCAGATGAAGTATGTTTCGTTCTGTTTTTCTTTATAAAGCCTTCCTAAAAAAAAGCTTTATGAAATGAAGCCTGGTGTTGCAGTTCAGGGAGGTTCTAGAAACCTTAGGAGGAGCGGATTGGCTGGAGGAAGTAAGTTATGTCACAGAACGGGTTGGGAAGTTGAAGGTGGGGGCATGTCCATTTATCTTGTCCCAGGTCTCTTTCCTCTCTTCCATCTCTAAAACCTAACACAGGGACAGGGAGAGAGAAAGAAAGAAAGATAGATAGATAGATAGATAGATAGATAGATAGATAGATAGATAGATATACAGATACATAGATGATAGCTAGATACATAGATAGTAGATACATAGTTACATAGATGATGGATAGTTGTCCTTGAGCTATATTAAAGTTGTTAACAGGCACAGTAAGGTTCCAAAGAAAGGCTTCAATCCCACCAGACAAAGCAAGGCATTTGTTCTCAAAGGTTTCTGAGGGAGGGGACAAACCCTACAATGTGAGGCAGCAGACTTAATAAGTTAATAAGTAGCCTATACTAAGTGCTGCTGTCGGCCTTGCCTACTGCACGGCACCATGGAGAGAAAGATCAAGTGTGTGTGCTCATGTGCCTGTGTGTGAGCATGTGTGTGTGTCTTTTGCTGTTGTTGTTGTTTTGTTCTTGTTTTTTGTTTTTTGAGACAGGGTTTCTGTCCTGGAAATAGCTCTTGTAGATCATGCTGGCCTTGAACTCTAAGAGATCTGCCTGCCTCTGACTCCTGAGTGCTGGTGTGTGTGTGTGTGTGTGTGTGTGTGTGTGTGTCTGTCTGTCTGTCTGTCTGTCTTAATGCATAGTTCTGACTGGCCTGGAATTCCATATACAGACCAGGCCTGAAACTCACAGAGACTCCTCTGCCTCTGTCTGCTGAGATTAAAGGCATGAGCCATTAAGGCACTTGAAAAAATAAGTTTTAAAAAAGAAAATAAAAAGAAATAGAAGTGGTCTGTTGATACTGTTCAAAGGATTGTTAATGGCTTGTCCCGCGCGCTATGTTCTCGCCGGCAAGAATCACACAGGACACTCGGATCCTTCTGCAGGAAAGCTTTAATGCATCTTGAGAGAGAGAGAGCATCAGCTTACCAGAGCGGAGACCCCAAGCCAAGAATCCCATCCCTTAATAAAGGCTGGGAGTAGCTGCCTGGGACGTGTTACCCTATGAATGGCTTTAGCTCCTCAGGCCATATGAGCCACGGGATAGGCAGAGATCAAAGAAATGGAAATTACCCAGCGCCTGCGAAATAATTTACATTAGGTGCCTGCAGGCACCATCATTGTAATGGAGAATGCAGGGGCGGCTCCCTACAATGGCTTTGCTCTCAGTCAACTGAAAGAGTCCTGAGTTTACATCCTGGTACCCTGTACTCTCATTTCTCACCCCATCACCCCACTCCAACCCACCCCACCCCACCCCACACACACATACAGTATTACAAAACCTTCTAAGATGTAAGGGAAATTCTGCTTTGCCCACAAAGGGCAAGGTGCTAATTGACAAAATTCCTGGCAGAACAACTTAAAAGGAGGAGAGATTGACTTTTGATTGGCTACAAAGTTTTCAATTCATAGTCTTTGGCTGTTTGGATTCTGAGGCTGGAAAGAAGGAAAGAAATTGTGGCAGACTCTCACCTCATGTTAGATGGAGAGACACTGGGAGGGGAGAGGTCATGATAAAAAGAGGAGGAAGGAGGGGGAAGAGAGAGGCTGCTGTTTTGTAGATCAGGCTACACACATCTTCTACACTCTCAACTCCTCTTTCAGTGCTGCCACAAAGAACTGACGGGCTACCTG